TCCTGCCATGCGGAACACAGAGAATGAGTCCGATGGGGTTACGACTCGGTCCGGCACGGTGGGGGTCAGCCATGTTTCAGTAAAGCACAGAAGGTTATAGTCCCTCATATCTCGCTGGAAAGTGACTCTGGCTCTGAGGTCGTGTAGCTTATTCTCCAGTGACTGTACATTAGCCAGCAGGATACTCGGCAGAGGGGTGCGATGAGCTTGCTCTCTCATTCTGTTACGGACGCTGCCGCGTTTCCCCCGGCGCTTCTTTGTTCTTTGCTGTGGGTTAGCGTCGCGTTCATTGTTGTTGTCGTCCGAGCAGCGTAGTATCTCAGATGGCCACGATGGGTCAGGCTTAGAAGTAATCGAATTAAGCGCCAAATTCTGATTTCCTATATCCAGTACTGTTCTACTGTCATAGGTCACCAAACCTGAAGAGCTATTTGTGAGTGAAAGTAAAATAAATAAATAAATAACAAAAAAAGCACACAGTCTGTACGGAGCGGTCAGGAAGGCGTCTGAACGTGGCCGTGCCATACGGCCATACATTCCGTTAGTTATAGTGAATGTCGTCCTACAAAATAATCCTCCTCTTCTCCTCTCTCTCATCTCCCTCACACCATCCACAATTCTTTTCAAAGGTGAAGTGCAGGTTAATTTGTTTTATGTATTTTTACTTTATATTTTGTATTTTATAACTTTTATATGAATATTTTTGGGTTGTGGAACGAATCATCCGAGTTTCCATTATTTCTAATGGGAAAATTTGCTTTGATATACGAGTGCTTTGGATTACGAGCACGTTTCCGGAACGAATTATGGTCGCAATCCGAGGTTTTACTGTACCCATACATTCTAAAATTAATGGTATGGTATATAGAGGGGGAACTATAACCTCATGTCTTATCGAGTCATAGGGTCCAAGTTGTGTCTAAGTTGTGAGTTGTTGCCCTTCAAATCTTTCCATCAGTTTTGTCGAGTCACAAGTCATCAAATCTCTGACTTGAGTCTGAGTCGAGTTACATTCTGTCATGGTAAAGAGAGAGCTGAGCTGGAAGACAAAGCTATCAGTTTACCAATCAATCTACACTCACCTAAAGGATTATTAGGAACATCATACTAATATGGTGTTTGACCCCCTTTCGCCTTTAGAACTGCCTTAATTCTACGTGGCATTGATTCAACAAGGTGCTGAAAGCATTCTTTAGAAATGTTGGCCCATATTGATAGGATAGCA